AAAAAATGGGAGTTTAAGTTAAAACTTGGGTATTGATCACTTTAAAATCATGTTATTAACGCTTGATAATCATCTAGACAAGTTTAATTAGGTACAAAATATGAATTAGAAGTCTTAAAAGTTGGAAGAAAGGCCTAGAAGTGGTAAGGAGTGGGTGAGTGGGTAATTCTGCAAAATTTGCGTTCTGCAGATTATGCAGACTCGCTAAGCGAATGTTTTCGCATAGCGAGTCCTCACAGAGAGGTGTTCTCTGTTTGAGCATTCGCACAGCGAGTTGGTGCGCTGTGTGAAAGACTAGAGAGGGTTGTTATCTGTTTGGTAAGTCGTGTAGCGAATGTAGTCGCTTTGCGACTGTTACTAGCTTGGGAAATTAGCCAAATTAATTCGAATAGCAAATTTGGGGCGCTATGCAAATTTTAGTTGTCCCCCTGTCAGGAAAATTCGCTCAGCGCATCAAGGGTGGTGCGCTATGCGAATTTTAGCTGAAAAACACTCTCCTCGTCAGGAAAATTTGCTCAACACACCAAGGGTGGTGCGTTGTGCGAATTTTTGCTGTCTTGCCTTGCATCTTGGTGCATTGTGAGACCTGGTTCAGTGAGTATCATATTTTTCCACATCTGTTTGAGCTGTTTGATGTTGTTTGACTGCCAGGATGTATGTATGTCCATATATTTGAATTGTGTGGCTTGAAATAATGTGACTGCAAATTGCAATGATGTAATTAAGTATGAAGTGGACATCTCAAGGTAAGATGATTGAAAATGATGTGTGGGGTGTTGTTGTTGTTCTGTATAACTGTATGGAGCTTTGAACTGGTATGTCTATCCCTACACTCGAAGCACTGTTCATGCTCAAATAGAGGAAAGCAGTGTAAGTGGTGAGAGTAGAGGGAGGTCCTCGTCTATAGTCTTAGAGTTTAGACATAGACAGATGGGGGATTTACCTTGCATAGTGTTGGGGAGTGCCAGCTGAACTACGCAAGTGTAAAGACGACCAATAGTTCGAAAGTTATACCAATCCGGATGAGTCGTGTGAGTGGTTGAGTCATGGTTCAAAGGGTATGCTTTAATTGTTCTTTTATATGTAACTAAGCATGATGACATCGATTGATTGTACTATATGATTATTGCTTGTTTATCTAGCTCACCCTTGCTTCTTTGTTGTGTGTTGCTTTTGTATGTTTACTTTTGCGATGATCATCCACTTGGATGGGAGCAGAAATTGTTAAGGAGATACCTTTGGAGCAAGAACTAGAGGACACTGATGCTGCAGTGCAGTCTACTTAGGAATTTCCTATTTGAAAGCTTGAAGAGTTGAATACTCTAAAATGTTTAAGTTTAAAATTCTGTCTTCTTATTTGGATGACTATGATTCCGTACTTAATTGCAAGTCATACTCTAACTGTTCTCTTTATTTGGATGTTCACGCCTATAATATATGATTGTTGTTATTATATATTTGGGATGTCACATAATATTTTTTACTAGTGTAATTTTTTTAATTATTATAATATTGTTAATAAATAAATTTAGAATAGACATGACTCGTACTCGAGAAGGTTCTTCTTCACATCACGGAAAGAGTTTGTCATAGGGTGAGAGGTGGAGACCTACTGCTTCTGCTCGTAGAAGACGTGGAGTAGTTGAGTCTGATATTCATGTTGAGGACCATGGAGATGTGAGGTTTCACGAGGATGCAGTTGAGAATCATGCATTTGAAGAGCACGATATTGAGCAGGAGGAGGATCATGAGGATGTTGTTGAAGGTGGATTTCCTAGAGGTCAATTAGACGCTTTAGTATTGACACATTACATTCACCATGTTGCTTATAAGATATAGCAGGGTCGGATAAGTGCAAAACTTTAATTATAATGATTATTGTTTAGTTGAAATAATTTTATATTAAATATTATTGTTTAGGAACGGGAGGAGATCAAGTTGATCTCCCCTGGGAAGAAGTTAAACAAATTAGGATCTTGCCACGAGGGCATTAGAGACATCGTTAATAGTTCTGGTCTGATGTCTTTGGTGGGCATGTCATATGATTATGTCGATAGGGGTCTACTGCTGGCATTTGTAGAGATATTTCATTTCGAGACCAACAGTTTCCATCTCCCCGTGGGTGAGATGACCATGACTTTAGATGATGTGTCATCGTTGTTGCACCTCCCAGTTTTAGACTAGTTATGTCATATAGAGGAAGTAAATTTTGAAGAAAGTAGACGCGCCATTGTGGAGCTTTTAGGCGTGGATGGCGGGAGAGCTGGTGCTGAGTTACAAGAAGCTCACGGTGCGAAAGTCATATTGAGCTGGCTTCGAGACATCTACGCTGAGCACTGTGAGCAGTAGCAATGGGAGTACGCTGCCCGAGCATACTTGTTGCATCTAGTTGGATGCAGTATATTTGCTGATAAGACTGTCACATTCATTCGTGTGTCTTATCTTTTGCTCTTTAGAGACGTACACGCATGTGGCCGATATGCTTGGGGCGTTGCTGCACTAGCATATATGTATGAGCAGCTAGGAGATGCCAACTTGGCTTCGATTAGACAAATGACAGGTTATTTGACTCTGTTACAGGTAAAAATTTAGTTTACAATTTGATTTGGTTGAATTTTTTCGATGTCGATTATGAAATAATTTGTAATTTTTTGTTTTTTAGAGTTGGATATATGAGCGCTTCCCTACATTGGGAAGAAGGTGTATGGTGTCTTCGTACATGGAAGATAGACCGCGTGCTGCAAAGTGGGAGTCACCGAGGCAAGGTTCCACTCTCTTAGAGGTCAGGGTACACTTGGATGCGTTGACATATGATTCAGTCATCTGGTACCCTTATGAGTCACATCGGGAGACTTGTCCCTTTTATGACATTTGTATATTCTCGGGCTGGATCAGGATTGGTGAGATGTTGTGCCGACATTTGCCTCAGCGTGTTTTGAGGCAGTTTGGATTTCACCAGTCCATCCCTCGAGACCCACCCGTTGTTGCAGATGCAGACATACTGGCAACTGATGATGTCTGGTTGCACTATCGTGATCATGTTGTTATGGGTTTGTCCGTCTGCAGATTCCCATATGATTGTCTTGATGGTTACCTTCCTTGGTTTAGGATGATATCTCATCCTTACATTATTCATGTTGTTGATGACGACCGGCTGAGTCTTGCTCCCAGACTCTGACGTGACATTCCTGATGAAGTGTCGCAACGTCGTAGATCGGCTTCACAGTCTGGTTTGCTGGTATGTTTACTTACATTGTTTATGTTATATAATTCTGTTGTAATTGTTTATATAATTGTGTGTCATCGTTATAATGCAGGGTGTAGTGAGAACATTTGGTAGAAGGTTACAACAAATGCTCTCTTGTAGGGAAATTCCCGAAGGGACGGTAGGATACACTCATGCACGGGAGCTACTGGATTTAGCTGAAGCAACCGTTGAAGAGTATTCACCGATCAGGACAGCTGCCATGTTCTTGACAGACATGTTCGTGGAAGACGATCTACTTCAAATTGAATTAGCTTTTATACTTTTATTGTATCCTATTAAATAATTATTTTGGACTCATTTTTTATGTTATTTTTTCCTCTAAAATAACATTAAATTTTATATATGCATGATATTTAATGTTTCTTTACATTACAATTTTGAACTAAAACAACATTACATCATGAATCTACTAAGTCAACATAGGAGGTGTAACACCCGAATATTTTAAAGGGTATTACTGATAGTAGAGACTAAATTAATTTGATATCTCATATAAACAATCAAACTTTATTTCAATTACTCCAAAGTACAATACCAAACTTACAAACTTTAAACAATATAGTCTTCACCATTGAAATTTCAACTTATAAATTTTACACAACATAATCTTCCCAATACAAACTTATTCTTTTTACAAAAATCCCTGAAAGTTTTTCCCCGCATCTCTCTCATCTCTAAGCTTTTTCAACCGCATCTGCAACATTATCTAATCACATATAACATGAGTTATATGATCATAGTACAAACAAATAAGGGTAAGCCAACCATATCATAAAATCATTAAACTTGTAACAAAAATATTAAAATCAGGTATTTCTGCAATTGATAAAATATCATTATTCCGATGTCATTAATTCATCATTATCAAAATCATCTTTCTCATTTCCATAAATCTTACAAGTGTACCATGCTTACTCATGAAGCCTTATGGTCAGACCGCTCTCTGCCTGCTTCCTTAAGCCTCACTTACATACTATGTCTTACTTTCTGAAGCCTTATGGTCAGACCCCTCTCTGCCTGCTTCCATAAATCTCAGGTGTTACTTTGCTCATACCAAACTCTCATGGTATAACTCGAACATACTACTCCCGGTAGTAAACATCATTTCATAAGTAATGATTTCTCATATCCACTCCAACATTTCATAAAAACCAACAATTCATACCCTCTTATCCACCTAACTCAATCATGTTCATTCTTTAATCATGAATTCATAATAACCCGTTTTGGTATCGATAAATTAAACACATTGCCAGATATCATGCTTCATATTATAAACTCATTTTGCCCATAACGAGTATAACTCAACATATTTTCACCAAACAAAGATCATGGATCAACCAAAATACATCAACATATCTTAGGAACTACATATTAAAGTCTGGGCTCAATGTAATGATAAATAAAATATATATGAAATTTTTACCATGATAATATTATGCATCTACAATCAACTTGTTTTATTTTATTTTCATCCTAGTAGAGATTTTTCTTTACCCCAATTGGTCACCGGAGAGGACCCAGATGTCTGAACGCATCAAACTCACCTTCGACGCCAGCACATATGACTAGTCACAACTGACTGGACCAGGCCAGGGCTGCTCTATGATCAGGGATGTGCCAACTCAGGTTTTTAAGGTTCCTCTATCCTACCAACAAAGGGAGGCCTTCAATAATTAACAATTTATTTATTTAATTTATCTACCTTGTTTTCTTATGCTCTAAATCTTAAAATGCCTAATTTTACTTCCTCTCACAACAACCTCAAACACTGTATATATATTTAATACCCATATACAAGCTATTATAGAACCCTTATTCCAAACCTTCCAACAAGATTAATTTCAGCCAACAAACTCATTCAATAAAATCATCACAATAAACATCCATAATAGAATTCATACAAGATAATTATAAACAATTAACAATAATAAAACATTACTATAAATGGTCATAGAAGAATACAATATTTGACAATCATAAAAATAATCTTAATATAAAAATTCATGGGGAAACAAGAAGTTGAATCTGGCAGAGCCGGTTAGACAACTTCTAATCCATCCATCAATACAATATAATTAAATAACAAGAACAATACATGTCTGGGGAAATAAGAAGTTGAATCTGGCAGAGCCGGTTAGACAACTTCTAATCCTTCCAAAAATGCAATAAAATAAATAAGTAAAGAAATAAATAGTTTGGGGAAACAAGAAGTTGAATCTGGCAGAGCCGGTTAGACAACTTCTAATCCTTCCAAAAATGTAATAAAATAAATACGGAAGGAAAAAAAAAAAAGTTTGGGGAATCAAGAAATTGAATCTGGCAGAGCCGGTTAGACAATTTCTAATCCTTCCAAAATACAATAAAAATAAATAAGGAAAACAATAAAATGTTTGGGGAAACAAGAAATTGAATCTGGCAGAGCCGGTTAGACAATTTCTAATCCTTCCAAAAAAAAAAAATAAACCACTAATAACATACAATTGACATAACATAATCAATATCACATTTTAAAATTTTCACACTTGGATATTAACAAAAAAAAAAACATATTCTCATTTAAAATTCAAAATCATACAGAAACAAAATACTCCATATTTAAGATTTAAAATCAGACAAAAGAAAAATATAGCATATTCAAGACTCAAGATAATACAAAAAGAAATACTCAAAGTTAGCTTCCCTTACCTCTATTCCAGACTTAGTTTCCTCTTCTCAAACCGTTCTCCGGAAACTTCCAGAATTTCCCCTCTTTAACTAGAATTTCCTCTAACTCTCTTCTCTCACAATTTCTCTAGAATTTTGGTGTAAATCTTCAGCCTCCCCCCCTTGGCTATTTATAGCCAAAAATTTTACTATTCATTTTTACTATTCATTTTTACTATTCACTTTTACTATTCATTTTTACTATTCAAAAATTATTTTTTATTCACCATTCTTATCTCTGAATGATTAATTCTACGTGGAGTGTTCTCTTCCATAATTTATTTTAAAATTTTTTTTTTAACTATTCACTATTCACTATTCACTATTTACTATTTACTATTCACTATTCACTATTCACATTTCAAAAAAAATCCTAAATAAGTTATCAAAAATTTGAAGCTCTCCCTCTAAAATTACTATAACTTTATATCCAAAAATTTACATTTTTCTATCCATTAAAATTATTATTACTAATAAAATGTTAAAATTTACTATTATAAATATTTTTTTTTTCATGGATCTTACATTTTAACATACAAATATTTTCAAGGATCTTACAATCTCCCCAACAACAATTATTTTCGCCCTCGAAAATTATTTATTTAAACAAAGACTATTTAAAAAAAAAAAAATTACTTACAAAAGAGATATGGATATTCCTTTATCATAAATTCTTCCAATTCCCAAGTCATTTCCTGTGTGTCTTCATTCCAAAGTACCTTTACCGTGCGAATATCCTTCCCTCTTAACTTTTTCATTTGAACATCTAGTATACGCACTGGGCCAACTTCCATTGTTAAATTTTCCTTGACCTGAATTTCATCAACTTCTAACACATGCTTTGGATCTGGAATATACTTCCTCAGTTGGGATACATGAAAAACGTTATGCAAATATGTCAATCGAGGTGGTAGTGCTATCTCATAAGCCACTGGCCCAATCTTTTTGAGAATTTGATACGGTCCGAGAAATTTTGGTGTCAGTTTCCTCATCTTGATAGCTCTCCCGACTCCTGTAGTTGGCGTTACTCGTAAGAATACATGATCTCCTTCTTCAAATTCTAACGGTCTTCTTCTTTTGTCGGCATATGACTTTTGTCTACTTTGAGTTGCTTTCATCCGATCTTGGACTAATTTTATTTTTTCTGTGGTTTGTTGTAATAGCTCGGGTCCCACTGTCAGTGCTTCCCCATCTTGAAACCAACACAACGGTGTTCTACATCTTCTTCCATATAAAGCTTCATATGGTGGCATACCAATACTGGAATGATAACTGTTGTTGTAAGTAAATTCTACTAATGGTAGTATCTCATTCCAACTTCCAAGATGATCTAATACACAAGTTCTCAGCAAATCCTCCAAAGATTGAATAGTCCTTTCTGTTTGACCATCAGTCTGAGGGTGATAAGCCGAACTCATCTTCAACTGTGTTCCCAGAGCCTTCTGTAGCGTCTGCCAAAACCTTGAAGTAAACCTTGGATCTCTGTCTGACACAATGCTTGTAGGTATGCCATGCAACCTCACTACTTCCCCGATGTATAACTCCGTCAGCTTTTCTAGTGACATACGTTGATTAATAGGCAAAAAGTGAGCGCTCTTGGTTAGTCTATCAACGATAACCCAGATAGAATCGTGACCTTTTGATGATTTTGGTAAATGTGTTACAAAGTCCATCGAGATACTGTCCCACTTCCATTGAGGAATGTCTAACTGTCGTAACATCCCTCCCGGTTTTTGATGCTCCACTTTTGCTTTTTGACACACCAAGCAGGCTGCTACAAACTCGGCCACATCCCTCTTCATTCCATTCCACCAAAATGACTCTTTCAGGTCCTTATACATCTTAGTCATACCTGGATGTATGCTAAGACGACTTTTATGGCCTTCGTCTAAAATTAAATGTTTTAATTCACTCTTTGCAGGGATACACACTCTGTTTTTAAATCGAAGTATGCCATCTTTACTTAGAACGAACTCCTTAGCTTGATCGGTGTCCAACAACCTGATCTTTTGCTGCAACTCTTGATCCATCGACTGCTCAACCTTCACTTGTTCTAAGAAGTCACTAGTGATTACTAAATGACTACACCATATGTGATCTGGGTTTAACTGCAACCCCAAGTTCATATCACGTAACTTTTCTAACAGTTCTAATTCCTTCACCATCATCGTTGTTATCTGAGCTTGTCTCCTACTCAATGCATC